ACAGAAGTAAGCTCAGCAGAGTGTGCTTTTCAGATCATGATGTGGACAAGCCTATATATGGACAGTTTGTACATAGACAAGTTTTTATCTGCCACTGTGAGCAGAGTTATGTTTCTGTAGTGGGGCTCAAATCTGCTCTGCAGGGTCCCTCAGTGTTCTGAAGTAGATTTGGAAGGGTGAATAGGGGGTGCAGAGAAGAAGAGAGGGTTGTTCTGTTGTGCAAATGGATGTCTGCTACATGAATGGAATGGCAGCATACCACCCAGAGGGTTTGTGCAGATTATGTTTATAAGGTCAAGGTCAAGGACCCATGGACAATTAAGACCAGGCAAAGGTGACTATGGGGTGCGGTGCTCATCTGCTTTTCAGGCTGAGGGAGCCAGCATTTGTCCACAGACAGCTTTCCGGGTCATGTGGCCAGCATGACTAAACCACTTTTGGTGCAACGGGACACTGTGACCAGAGTGCACAGAAACACCGTTTACCTTCCTGCCACAGTGGTACCCATTTATTTACTTGCACTAGTATGCTTTTGAACTGCTAGGTTGGCAGAAGCTGGGACAGAGCAATGGGAGCTCACCCTGTCGCGGGGATTCGAACCGCCGACCTTCCGATTGGTGAACCCAAGAGGCTCAGTGGTTTAGACCACTGCGCCATCTGCTGTGTACAGAAGAGGGGTGCTATTGCCTTCCACCCCCTTCCTCAGAGTACGCACAATAATATATGAGCACAACCTTTGGGCAAGGATGTGGCAACTTTTCACTCTATCACTGCACCTGCATGCTAAAAAAAGCTTTACCTGTTGAATTCCTGCTTTTTATGCATATATTAATGGCATAGGAGCCCTGCCAGAAAGAGTTGGCAACCACATTCTAGAGAAGAGCTAGAGCAGAGTTAGTTGATAATAAGCTCTTGCCAAGAAATGCCAGCATTCCTTACTCCTGTACAGGAGTTTTTATCCTGCTAGTTTATGGTCAAATGATATTAACATTACCTTAAAGAGAAACTGTACAGCAAATGGAAGAATTAAATGAGATTGGAGGTAATTGCAATGATCTTAGATATGACATTATCTATCCAGCAGGTGGTGTTCTACTCTCAGTCGGGATATACCAACTATTTTTCTGTTTGAGCCTTCTAATATGTTGCTATTTTTTTTAGCCTATGGCTGATAAATTTCATCAGGAATACAGACAGCATCAATGGGAAAGGAATTTCATTCTCATTTAGAAAAGCCTAACCCAGATGGCTGGGAAGTAGCAACAAATCTCTAAATGTGCCTGCAGATCACTACAATTTGCTTGCACCAAAGGTAAGTCCATCAGGAAAGGTGGTGGGGTCTTTAGATAGTGGTTTCTGCTGCCACACTGCTATCTTTCCATTCTATTTCATTTTGACAGGCACCTCATATGTATACAAGTCTAAGCTACCTCTGGTTGAGGGGTTGATGTGTCATGGGGGTCACTGGTAACAGTCAACAGGGTTTGACAAAATACGCACACGCCCAAAACCAAGTGTCAAATACATTGCCTTTCACAATGTGAAATCCTGGCTTAGCCACACTGAAAATGAGAGCCAGCTTATCTTTCTTCTGTTGATTTCCACAGAGCAAGATGCTTTTAAAGAAAGCAGAGCAGGCTAGTCTGTTTTGGGTTCCCTGCCCCTTCTGGTCAGGTGACAGCTTATGTGCTTTGAACAAAAGAAGTGATTTCACACTTTGACTTCTGAGTGAAGATGGCGACAAATAAGACTGCTTGCCCTTGAGTGTTGTGGTCTGTTCTAGTTTAATTTGTTTTTCTCTTGAACAGTTTTAAATGTTTAAAGTCAGTTGGCTCAGCAATTAATGCTAATTGTTTCATGTAGGCAAGGTGCATACAGTGGTACTTTGGGTTACAAACACCTCGGGTTACAAACACTTCGGGTTACAGACTCCGCTGACCTGGAAGTAGTATCTCGGGTTAAGAACTTTACCTCAGGATGAGAACAGAAATCGTGTGGCTGTGGGAGGCCCCTTTAGCTAAAGTGGTACCTCAGGTTAAGAATGGTTTCAGGTTAAGAACGGACCTCTGGAACGAATTAAGTTCGTAACCAGAGGTACCACTGTATCTGTTTTATCTGTTTTACTTCTATGTGGGTTTAAAAGCCATATATTTTCACTGGAGGACAGGAGCTGGAAGAGCAGCTGTTTTGGCTCAGTGTTTTTAACTGATAAGAAACACTTAGAAGACCATATCGACCAAAGGATACTCAGCACATCTAACAGTTCTTAACATGGTTATTACAAGAGCACAGACCTGCAGTACTTCAGAACTCCATTTCCAAATTTAGTCCAAAAATGTATGCTGGACTATTGTGACTCGGCAAGGGAGGCAGAGGTAAAAGCAATGACAAACCTAGACAGCATCTTAAAAAGCAGAGACATCACCTTGCCAACAAAGGTCCATATAGTTAAAGCCATGGTTTTCCCAGTAGTGATGTATGGAAGTGTGAGCTGGACCATCAAGAAGGCTGATCGCCGAAGAATTGATGCTTTTGAATTATGGTGCTGGAGGAGACTCAAGAGGACTGCAAGAAGATCCTATCCATTCTTAAGGAAATCAGCCCTGAGTGCTCACTGAAAGGACAGATCCTGAAGCTGAGGCTCCAATACTTTGGCCACCTCATGAGAAGAGAAGACTCCCTGGAAAAGACCCTGATGTTGGAGGGCACAAGGAGAAGGGGACAACAGAGGACGAGATGGTTGGACAGTGTTCTCGAAGCTACCAGCATGAGTTTGACCAAACTGCGGGAGGCAGTGGAAGACAGGAGTGCCTGGCGTACTCTGGTACACAGGGTCACGAAGAGTCAGACACGACTAAACGACTAAACAACAACAACAACATGGACAAGCCTGGTCCTTTACATTGTGAGAGTGCAAGTAATGGGCCTGGAAAAGCCTTAACCGAAGTGAGAGGTTTTGCTACATATTCCTCTAATGAAAGCTTAGCTAACTGGCCAATTCAACTGGACATGTTAGGCACTGATAGATATGCTCCAAGGCAATCTTATCTTCTTCCATATAATGAAACCTCAGCTAGGTGTAATAGCAATCTTGGTGTGATAGACTCAGCCACAACACAGACTGAAACTTATTCACTATGGGAACTTTTACGCGACCAATGTCTCCTGTCTAGACAAACAGCAAAGGGAATCTTTAGCAGAATTAACACACTGGAAAAGGAAGTTTTGGATTTGAATGCCATAACTGGTACACTGGTCAGGATGGTGGAGACAGAAATTCTGACTGTAGCCCCACAGATAAGACCTATCAGCAAAGAAACTGAGGTTAGTGATGGTTTGAAGGTACATCAATACAGGGATGGTTCTGAGTACACCAAGTCCCTATCCAGCTATCAGACAATTAAATGGCATATATCAAGATTGGAAGTTGAACTCAGAAACCTGCTTTTACACCAATATGAATGCTCAAGCGACGGAGGAGTCATTTTCCATTCTCAACTTAACCTTTTCTGATCCAAGGCTGCTGATAGTGGATGAGTATGCTGATAACCCACTTGCTATGTTCTAATTCCACTGTTGGGGGCAGTATACTTCTGAATACAACTTGCTGGAAACTGCAGCAGGAGAGATCCTCAGATCCTGCTTGTGGGCTTCTGATTGGCATCTAGTTGGCCACTGTGAAAACAGAATGCTGGACTGGACGGACCACTGGGTTGGTCCAACAAGTTATTCTTATATTCTTAAAAAGGTAAAGGAAAAGGACCCCTAAGAGTTAAGTCCAGTTGCAGATGACTCTGGGGTTTGCGTGCTCATCTTGCTTTACTGGCCGAGAGAGCCGGCATTTGTCTGCAGACAGTTTTTCCGGGTCATGTGGCCAGCATGACTAAGCCGCTTCTGGCGCAACAGAACACCGAAACCAGAGCAGTGTACGGAAACGTCATTTACCTTCCTGCTGGAGCGGTACCTATTTATCTACTTGCACTTTTTGGTGTGCTTTCAAACTGCTAGGTTGGCAGATTTCAGGCACCATTACCACTTCTAAAAAATAAGAGAACCCAAAACATTATACTGCTTTTACTCTCTGCTGCTGGAATTTTTATGCTGTTATATATATATTTTGTTTTTTTATGTCTTATAGTTGTATTTTAAATATTTTTATTAGTACCCCAAACCTGCTGTATTAGTATAGCAAACAATGAAACAACTGCTCAGAGCATACACACAAACATAAAAGCAAGCCCATCACACAACACACACATACATTATAATTTTCCTTCAAAAACCATTCTCTCTTAATACTTGCTACACTACAGTAATATGTGAATCCATATTATTCTAATTTTGAGTTCAAGTGCTCCAGCTTTAGCACCAGCCCATAGGAACTTTCCCAGGCTCCATGGAAAATTATTTGTTACTATGACCATTTCTGTAGCCAAACAATTATTGGACAGACCCCAGTCTGCTATTCAGAGGGAGCAAAACAGGAATAAGCTGCCTATCCATTTTTAATAAAACCACTTAATCTTGCATATGAATATGGCATTAACCTAATTGTTCTTTCTGTCCTTTGATGATTAGGAATAATGAAGAAAGGTTATTCTTATTCCTAATCAGCCAGCGTTTCTGTACTAACTGTAATGATGTGAAATACTTGTGGGCTAAAGTGCCATTAAACTTCAGCAGTGAGCAAACTTCTGAACCCAGTTCCTTCACTATATACCATGAACATCAAATGTTTTTATGAGCTGTTCTAGCACTTTCTATCATGGGACTTCTGCTTAAGATAGAATCCTTCTCTAGAAGATTCCTCTATAAACTGAATTATTTTTAATTCATCTTACAAATGTGTGATTCTGAGGAACAAATCTCTTCTAATCTGATTTGCTTTTATGTCAGCATCTGCTATCACAGAACATAATACTCACAGGAGGCCATTATTGGCTCCAAACAACTTTTAGACAAGTTGAAAGGGGATGCTGAAGATGTGCAGTAGAAATGTCAAGCCAGCAAACTATTCTAATCATAAATTACTCAGTCAAGTTTCCCATATTTGGGGAACTTGCAGGGGTCAGTGCACCCAGAGTGCAACGGATGAGCCTCATCCTGGGAAAACTCCACTTTAATGAGTAGTGTGAAGTTTTAGGGGTGCTGCTAACCCAGGTTTAGTTTTCTTTTGGAAGACACCGGAGATAAAATATTTACCGTACATTTACAGTGTTTACAAATGTACAAGTTGAGCAGAGTTGGAGAGATGCAGCTTAAACATTCAGAACAGATAGGCTTGAAGTCCACTGGTCCTACACAAGATCTCTGTGGAGACTGCCAGATACCTGTGATCCATACAGATATTAAACTCAGCACTCTGTCCCTTCACTTATTTCCAACTCAAACTTCTGTCTGTCCTGTATAGACAGACACCTGGATTACTGTGCCCTTTGCTGGGAAGGAGTGCCCTGCCTTGATTTGTCAAGGGCCTGGCATTGTTTCTCTGGAGATACTGGAAGTGGCTGGTGTAGTGCTAGAGTCAGGAGCCTCCATAGGCTCTTCAGATTTTGTGTCATGGGGTCTTCATTGGAGGAGAAGTTGTCCTGGCTCAGACCTGAGTCAGGCATGACAAAGAGGAAGACCTGCCCCCTTCTCTTCTCAGTTTTTCCTACTCAGAACATTCCTAAAATGATCCTACTTCAAGAAGTAGCTGGCGAAACATTTCGTTTCCATGGCAACATATTGATTGTAGTCAATCTAACAAAAGGATGTGACCTGCCAGATCTGGCCCATGAACCATGTCCTGTACCACTCCAGAGAGTCACAACAATGTGTACAGTGGTATGACGACTTCATACAGAAAGCTATGGCTTGGTATGCCTTCTCTATCTCACCGTAGAACTGGAGCACATGGATTGGCACAATGGATGAAGAAGGGGATGTAAGTAATTTTTGGCACAGTGCTTCTGTGTGGCTATGGAAGGATCTCTTTTTTGTCACCTAACATGGCAGAGAGTCTTCTGAATGATTTCTTGAGCTGGTGTGAATCAGCATCGCTCAGCTGATTTCAGTGAAGTGACACAAATAGATACCATCTTGGGATATGGCCCTCTTTGTTTTGAACAGCAGATATCTGTAAGTGACTCCTTTGACATTTCGGTTGCTGCAAGGCATACAGAAAACAGAACAAGAGCAAGTTTATAGGTTGTCACATGACTCTCCTGCTGTTTTAAGAAATATGTAGGACACACATACTCCAAGGAGGTGTTATCCTCAATTTAAAGTTGGCAAGTTACTGGTCTTCCCTTTGTGATACTTTCATTCTTAGACAGTTCTTCACTCAGTTCTATACTTGGTTTATTCATGATGTCTCATCATTGATAGACTAGAAAACATTCCACCTCTCTTTCAATTCTGAAGCTGAAAACATCAGGTGGAATTGAAAGAAGAGACAAGAACAAAAGAGATGGAAACTGCAGCCGCTGAAGCAACTGAACACTTGACAGGTGTGGTAGCTGCAGGTGAATGGTTGTGACTACCTGTCTATGCAATTGACCTATATGTGTTCAGTTAGGTTAAGGCAATTAATAAGACAAATTTGAAGGTTGGATCAGGGGAGAAGGCTAAATAAATCCAGTGAGAGAAGGACACAAAGCAACAAACTTAACTTCCCCCCTCATTTTTCTAGTCTTAAACTCTTTCTCCACATTTCCATATTTGATTGCAATTGTTTTCTTTTAATCAGTGTTATGAATTTATTCTAATGTACACATTTTTGCATGCAGTTTTGCCCTACACAATACAGTTTGGAATGTTATGTTTACTAATATATGCATTTCTGTTTACACTTTACCATATAATATGCCTTTTTTTGTATGGATTATTTGACAGGGGAACGGCATTGAAAAATTCAGAGAACTATGAATTTTGAAGGACTGCTGTGTTTTGGTTTGTGCATTGTTTCCAAAGTGTGAATTGCATAGGCTCAAAGGCAAACTAAACTGAATTCTACCTCCATCTCTATCCACATCCCACAAGAGACTGTTTACTCACCTCACTCAGTTCCTGTTTGCACTGGCTCAGTCTCTCCTTCAGACCAGTGTTTCATTGGATAACCACTCTCCCATTGATCCATTGATTCTGAACAGAGGAGAGGTGCAAAGAGGTAGCACGGCAGTGGCTGAAGCAGGTCTTTCCCCAATTGGTGGTGTGGCTGATGTGGTGTGTGTGTAATTTCCTTTTCAGCTGTTTTGGATGTGGCAGCCATTTTGTGCTATGCCATGCCCCCATTGTTTTTTACTGGCCGTCACCAATGCAAACCCCCACACTGCACTTCCACTCAAAGCAGTTCAGCAGCAGCAGAGTGATGGTGGCATCCCTCTGCAGGCAGTGGTTGGCAGAAGCCTGCTGGGGGCTGGCAGGGCTGTGTGGAGGGTACCTCTGCCCAGTCCAAGCCCCAGTGCCCCTGGCTGTGGCAAAGGGGATTTGGGTTCCTCGGCTGATTAAGCACCTTGTCCATATTCAAAATTGACACATCCAGCTCAGGCTCTTTCATACATACAAGCTGATGCCACGTTAGAGAGAAAGTACTTAGAACTGATGTATGGTTGCAACATATTGGCATTTGGCTGGGCAGTGGAGCCTGTGCTAGGGGCTGGATCTGTCTGTCTTAATAATGTGTGGCATTTAAAGAGGCACACTGCCATAGACAGGGATCTCATCTCAGTGCAGAAGTCATGCTCTTCCCATGCAGATGCAAACCTAACTGCAACCTGGGTAAATGCAACATGAAGGAATGAGAAAGCATCATGCTCACCAGGATTTTGTAGGCAGTCACTAACTTTGTTATTATTAGCTTTTTGAAAGGAGGACAGGCCACCAGACTTGAGGGGAGAGGACTAACAGCTCATTTCTTCACTCAACTTTCTCTCCCATATGCTGTGAGTGCTGTTTTTGTATTATTTCAGTCTTTATAGTCTTTGATCTGCATACATATTTCACCATACCAGCTACATACATCTGAATTTCTTTTTCTCTGCCAATTCCCAGGGGCAATAGTTACAAGAAGAAGACAAGAATGAAGTCAACTGGGAGGATTTGACGGGTTTTCTCTCTCTCAAGCTCCAGGAAGTCTTCTTCCTGTGGAAGACACTTAAGTGGGAGTAAGGATTCTTTACCGCAACACAATTAATATAGGAGATCCTCTGCTCCATGATCAGATCTCCCAAAATTTTTGTGTGAGGATGGGCAATTTAAACTGGGCCTGTGGTGCTTGGATATAAATTTTAACACTTTGCCTCCAGTGTCTTGTCCCCAGTTTAAATCACACTCAAAGCTGCTATTAACCATGGTGGCGGAGAAAGACAGGGACTTGTATGATAGCTGTCTCTTGGAGAGAGGAATGATCTAAATAATAAAAAACAGTATGGAGAAAGACCAGCCAGGGTTACCTCTTCTTCCCCCAATACCATGGTACCAAACCAAATTCTCCCTACTGTACCTGCTTTTAACCAAAGACATTAGGATATGCAATTACATCAACATCTCAGCTTGTCTCCTAGGCTTAGGAATGGCCACAGCCTGCATCTCACACTCTCCTCTGCATACAATACTGGGACAGGGTCACATCACATCTGCACAAAGAGAGGATATATTTAGATCATGAGTGTAAAAATTTGAAACAATGCAGTTTTCAGAAAGCAGAATGGGAACAAGAGGACTAAAACAGACAGCATCATTATTTTCAGATATACCACTGTGTCAAATCAATCCAATGTTTGGTGATATATGACTAATAGGATTTCCAGAAGAAGAAAGATAAAATAGGGGATGTCTGTCTTTGATAACAACTCAGGCATAGGAAGGAAATGAGTGGCCTCAAAACATTAAACACTGAACAAATGATTGTGGAAAGCAGCACAGGAGGTCTAATGCAAGATCTGGGGAAGGAAGAATAGTCTGGATTGTGTATGACCTCCTAATATGGCTTTAATTCCCAGAGAAAATGGTTAAATAAAAATGTTTGTGTCATTGTTCCAAATTCATTACTGAAGTTTGATCTGTTTCCCTGCTTCTTCCTTCCTTAATTGGTTAATGCATGCATGACTCTTGGAAATTAAGTTCTACAATTAAGGCCACATTTTTGGTTGACAATCTAGGTGTAACTCTTTCCTGCCTAGGCAAAATAAATATTTATGACCTTCCCCATTACATTTTCCTCAGTCTGATGGTTTCTTTGAAAGTGATAAGTTTCTGATAATGCGATGAGAGGGAATGTTTCTGGCACTTCTTAGTAATGACATCAATCATCATACCCTCTGAGGTTGTTGAAAAGACTATGGGAAAATGAATAGTACAGGGTACAAAGGGTTGAAATTTGGATCAGTGATTGTTTGGCCCAACTGACTGATGGCTTTATCTGTGCTGGGAGAAAACTTGGTTTCTGCACTGAGGGCCAGCATGAAGAAGAAGAAGAAGAAGAAGAAGAAGAAGAAGAAGAAGAAGAAGAAGAAGAAGAAGAAGAAGAAGGGGAGTTTGGATTTGATATCCTGCCTCTCACTCCCTTTAAGGAGTCTCAAAGCGGCTAACATTCTCCTTTCCCTTCCTCCCCCAAAACAAACACTCTGTGAGGTGAGTGGGGCTGAGAGACTTCAAAGAAGTGTGACTAGCCCAAGGTCACCCAGCAGCTGCATGTGGAGGAGCGGAGACGTGAACCCGGTTCCCCAGATTATGAGACTACCGCTCTTAACCACTACACCACACTGGCTCTCAGGAGGGAAGATCACATGCATAATGCAGTGCAATCTGTATTTCACATGCTGCAAAGTTTCCAGAAGTGAGCTGGCAGTATGGCACAATAAAAATGGGTTGAATTATGGTCTGGTTATATGGTGAAGAGAACCATGAGCCCCTGTTGAAACTGAAAAACCATCTGCTCACCAAGGCAGGTATGTCAACTGAATGCCTAAGATGTACCAACAGATCTTTGCCTACCCCCTAGTATGATCTAGCTTCAGCTACCCTGAGGATGCAACTCTGGGGTGGGGGCAGGCAGGAAGCTTGAATGGGGAAGGGAAAATTGTCAAATCTTGTGTGGAATCCCACCAGATTTTGAGTGATCCTCCGTTTCAGCATCCCCAGTGCCC